GTGATTTATTTTGACTGAATGTAACAGTTGCTGCGTTTTTAATTGACATCCGTTGATTATTGAGATGAGATTGGTTGCAGGTTCCGTCAACGATTTTTTTATTCAGGCTGCACAACATTACAAGTTGGCAGTGGAACGTCATGCTACTGCACAAGCCATGTTCAACTTGGGACTTATGCATGAACAGGGACTGGGAATTACTCGGGTTAGTTTTTTTAGTCACGTATCAGTTTTACTGAAGCCTCAGATTCGAAATAAGATTGACGTAATGAATGTAATGGACCCACCATTGTGGAAAATTTCCACTAAAGACGCGCCCCCCTCCAGTTTTTTTCTCTGGTACGACCGCTCCCACCACCCGCCATCCTACCTACCATACCCCTGAATTCCCTTAACCCCCTACCTTTTTTCCGAAGTTTTCCTCAAAAAAACTACCGTCGAGCCAGGGGGAGTATGTAGCGCACACGTAAAAACCGGTCAATGTCAGCAGCAGAAAACGATTTTAACGTGCTTGAATGAGCAAATAAGAGATCACCTCATCGAATCGGTGCGTGGCACACACACAGGTATTGACTACGCTTAAAAAGCTCCAAATTTGGCTGAAAAGTGGCTCTTTCAGGATCTTCACTTAGCGAAACGTTTCTATGACATGGCGGCTGAACAGAGTTCGGATGCCGCTGTTCCAGTAGCTCTAGCCTTGGCCAAACTGACTGTACTATTTATTCTTGAACAAATAAATAAGGTATGTTAACGAACTTGTTTCTACGTCTGTCCTTTTTTACTCCTACTATGCATTTTTTATGTCTTTTAGAATCCTGTTATTCAACTTTTGGAAAAGTACATAGGACCTAATTGGGATATTATGGCGATGACGATCTTAGCCGGTGTGCCAATGATCATCTTCCTCAGGTGGAGGCGCGGTCAGCATCTATGAATAGGGTGTATCATTCATTTGTGGTATAATTGATGAGTAGATATTTTGTGCTTCGCTTTGGGTATTTAATTTAAGACGTCCTTCATTCCGCCTTAGTTGGTTATGATAAACATTAAAGTGCTGGTTATGATGAGCTGATAGTGGGAATTCTGAGGTGATTTTCTGAACTGGTCTGGTACCGCTCGTGACAGTGTTTCATGGATTGGTTTGGGATTGTTCACGAAACCAAAGTCTGGTAAACAACTTGTTATGTAGGGTTATTGTGTTAGTTTCTCTTGCCATTGTAAATATACTCAAATGTTACTCAACTGTTTTGTTTTGATCTAGTAAAATAGGCTTAAAAACGTGATGACGATCTAACGAACCAATCCACGATTCCTCGACATAATACATGCAGGAGCGACGCCTTTACAGAATGCAGCCGAAGATGGGTATCTTTTAAATTATCGCTTTTTTCGATGTACTGTTATTTGTTTGTAAATTTTCTGTAACTGTTTTGTGTTCAACTAATCTGAATTTATTTACCTGCCGTTTGTATGGAACGGACTTCGAATCCAATCCTCTTATAACAAACTGTGATATTCTAATTGTTTTTCATTTCGATTCTTTTCGTTTTGCTTTTTCATGCCCCCATACTGAAGCTCTGAGAGATGTCGCTATACGGTTATGGTCAATGTTCGAAATTGTTTATAGCGTGTGATGTGAAAATGAAATGAACTATTGGTATGTACTGCTGGTGTATCTGTGGCTGTACCGAATTCGGTTGCCATGTCTAACAGACGACGATGTAGGGAAATTGCTGATGGGCTCCTTCCATTTTAGGGAAGATGGCGTCGTTACTGCCATTCCAGCAGATTCGTAGCAACACGGTGAACTTCTTTATGAGAAGTTAGTGAATTTCGTTTCCTTCTTCTTGCATTGAAGAATTCGTGAAGATTCTTCTATACGATTCCCGAATAGCTGGCGTGCGTGTGGTTGGATGCCAAGCCACTCAACCGTTAATCGTTGGACCACGGCAATCAGGGCACGTCCTGTAGTTGGGGAAAATTTCTGCAAAATTCGACCCCCTCCTTCAAAAACTTCTTCTTTGGTATGATCCTCTTTTATTCGCTTTCCACCCTGCCTGCCATTATTCGAATTTTATCAACTTCCTCCCAGTTTTCCGGGGTTTTTTCACCAAAATCCTTGAAAATTTCCAAAAATTCCCGATTTACGCGCTCACCCCTCCGACAGCAGTTTTTTGGCAAATTCTTCCCCAGAAAACTGCTGTCGGGGGAGTGAGGGCGTAAATCGAAACAGGAAAAACAGAGTAAAGTCAACATCAAAAACCATTCTTCTCAAAGCCAAGTACAGCCCTCCTCTGTTCAGCGACCGATTACGCCCCTGTCCTCGCTGCGGACTCTCTACTTACGGCGTGGCGTGACTACAACTGCCAATTTTCTCCTGATCAAGATAAAATTCGTTTCGGACTTCTTAACGCTCCAACGACTTGCAGAGGAGCACACTCGGGCATTTGAGGCGAGTCGTTCGAGTCACGAAGTATGAACTCAGCCCTGAAAGCGGGGCGGAGGAACTTTTTAGATCGTGGATGCCATTTTCAAACGGTTTCTGCTTGTTGTAGAGGATCATGCGGTGACACAAAACTATATTCACTTTCGCTGAGCGTTCCTGCGAAGGTCAAAGAAAGGGTTAATCATAGGCTGATGGTTCGAAACCCCCACGCGACAAATTTTTGAATGCCTGAATTTTTTGTTTTTCTGTTCGTACAAATCGGGCCTTTGTCATTATTATTCCTAAAGCGCACAGCGAGAATGGGCTGCAATTTTGTGATTCCATTTCAAACCACAGTGTGAAGCAAACCGTTTCGAAATTGAGCTTCTCAGCCTAAAAAACCTCCCTCATTGAAAAAGTGCGGTTGAGCCAGAGCGGCCACTGCGTAACTGCAGCGTGGCACCCCTGACCGTTGTTGCCCATGCAACAGTTAGAACATCATCACACGTTGGCGATCGCATACCTCATCTCGACGACATGTTTCCTTCTATACTAGTAATGTGAACAAGCTGGTATCGGTCGTGACAAGGGTTAACTTTCTGGAAGAAATGGTTCCGTTGTATTGGTCGACGTACGTTTGCTCGTGAATTCTTTGGTGAGATAACCTCGGAATGCAATCAGTTGCAAGTTTTTCCAGCTATCTGGGTTTGGAATACATCGACCAACAGTTTTCAGGGACTTCTGGGGTTTCCAGAGAGGGCGGTTACTCGCTCGTGGAATAATAAGCTGCTGGTAATTAAAAGTGGGTGTGTTCAGGAACATCTGGTGAGCTATGGAAAACGATAACTAGTGTTTCGAAGGCTGGACAGAAAAAGGGACGTATGAGTACGAGGCAGCCGACTCGTAACTTGAATCGGTTTTATCGGATTGGATCTAGTGAGTTCTGTGCTTAATCATACTTTGTGCTGCAAAATGTAATACTGCAAGGGTACTGCAACCGTCTTCATTCCATTTCTGTCTAGGTCCAATGAAAGTGCAGTTTCCCGGACTGAACGCTCCGCTTAACCCTACTGATCCAGACGTAAAAATTGTTGAACAGACAGAAGACGAGATCAAAGAGGCTCAACTGAGTGTGCGAAAGACATTAGAGGAACAGAAAGAGTGAGGATGCTTCTTTTTTACCGCTTGAATCGTCATGTTTTGATGAGCACATTTTCAGCATTGGTAAGCGACGCTTCCGTGAGAAATTGCATCCGCTTGAGCGTGGCTTCAGTGGAAGTCAATTAGTTGGACAGAAACTTGGTCCGCCAACCCAGTCGATGGAGTTACATTTGACGACTTTCAGACTTACTGCTTAGAGGTACGTAGTTTTCATTTGAGTGATATCCAGAATCGAATGCTCACGAACTTTTCACGTACTCTGGGCAACTTCTTCAAACATCTTTCCAAAAGCTCGCGCTATGTTGAATACCAGTTCCTATTAGTAGATACAAAAACTGTACAATTGCCCACTAACCAGGGAAGTCCGCCAACTTACCATGGAACTTTGAATGGAGACCTGGGTAGATCGATAGAGTCTATAAGGTTACCTACAAATATTGATAGCAAAACTGCAGTTTCTAGACTCAAACTCTGAACCCACGGTGGTCTTTACTTCATTATACAATAATCAATAGTTGAACGTTGTATGAACGCTTCGATTCGAAGTTTTTTTAGCAAATCGGTATTTAGCGGTCGTCAACGAATTTGACATCGCAAGTGTACTAAAGCGTTAAGACAAGCATTCTATATTCAGAACTGATGAAATACGACGATTGAAGGACGCCAGGTGGTTCGGTTGATCGGAGAAAAAATAGTTGCATCACCACATGCGGGAGTCGTATAATGGTACTAGTGTGCGCTGCTTACCACAGTGGTCTGATGGTTAAATCCTGCATAGAATTGCGCCGGGGTCATTAAGCCATGTTTTCTTAGGAATAACTTATATATGACTTGTCTGGGGACGGAAACATTGACCTGCACATTTGTAGGCTACTGGAGTACATTGCGTGGTGCGAATAAGCTTAGAGGTAGTACTGCTCTGAAGCAAGTTGAGCTCATCTCAAAAAGGATCGAGTCAAGCTCCGTCTTCCAATTTACGGCTATCGCCATGTACATGTCCGCTGCTATATTGTTTCATTTACTGTGGACGATGGGAGGTGTCAGCGCGGCTGGGTTTGGCGCGATGCCAGCCCATTTTCTACCAGTTGTTGAAGCGGGTAAGCGACAAGATGTGGGGAAACGACTGATACGAACGATATGATAGTCTTGTCGCTCACCGCAAGAAAAAAGAAACAAAAAAACGAGTTGACACACACCAAACGTGGCTGCCTGGTCGCCTCATTCCGTATCCGAACAAGACTGTAGGCCTTATAGGGAGAACATATTATTGAACTGTTTAATCTCTAAAGAAGAATTCGGTTTCACCTGCCATCAGTACACGCTACAAGCACTTTGATCTCTTTATATTATAGGTGAAAAGGACATGCATTATGACTCGTGTTTTTGGCCGTGTACACACTATGGCAGCTCTTGTCATAACCGGAAATGGTAAAGGGCTGGCTGGATATGCCGTGGGAAAGGTGTAGTTTTACGGCAACATCCATTTCTACAATGAATTGTGAGATTTGGCTGCATCCAGCGAGTCAAACTGTTCAGGCTCCTCTGCACAGAACGACGGCAGCGATTATTAATGGAATGAATATGGCGTCGAGGAAGTTGTTTTTTGTCGAACTTCTCGAAGGTCGTACCATTTATCAGGTTGGTGATGCAGAGTCCACTGTATTTACTGGTGCGAGGTTTCACAGCCTTTCAAGATTCGAGCATGGCTCTTACAGACTCTAAGGGCTAAATAAATGTATAGGGCGCAGTTCGGCGACGGGGAGCACTTTGCACTTTTGCCACTTACCATCGACGTGTCGAGTCATCGAGAGAGCCTCACGAGAGTTGACAGATTTTATCATGTTGGCTGGACAAGCTTGCTCCAGCTACAAGAAAGTTTACAGGTTTAACCTAAGTAGGGACTTGTTATCCGGAACTATGATAAATCATGCGAAGTGCACGAAGCCACCCCCCCCCCCCCAGGCGCGAACATCGCCAATGAATAAGCGTGAAATGAACAATGGCCTTTTCGAAGTTTTAATACCTCCTGCATCCCAATATTCGGCTGTTTCTGTTTCATAAGGAGTAAAGGAGGACAGTACGTGGGATGCGCCGTGAGGAGATTACACGCATACGCTAATCGGTGAAGTCCCGTCCTCGCGCCAGCCTTCGCTTGTGAGTGTTGTATAAAGTGAAGTATTGTGCTGAGGTCGTCGCCGATTCACCAGTCTGGCCAACGAAACCATAAAAACGGTGAACGGTTGTCATGTCTATTGGACAGTGTACGCCTTACTATGTTGCACGGAGTTGGCAAGTGCACGCTTAGCCACTCTTTCGGATCCCGCCGAGCAATGCCGAATCAACCGAACTGAGTTAGGGCCCTTTTAACGTTTACCTATGCCTCTTTTCTCTTTAACAAGCTCATGTTACCTAAACTTAGTTTCATCATTTATTGAATAATCCTACCTAAGGATGTGTTTTTGCACCCACTTACCAAAAAATTGCTATAGTTCCAGTGTTGTGTTTTACAGCGATCAAGAGCGTGTTTTCAGGACTTTTATGCAGAGTGTCGGAACACCAGAGTGTTCGCCCAGCGTCGGCCTCACGGTTTTGGCCTCACGTGCCATCCTAGGCTGATAAAAATCTGTGAGGTACTGACTTTTTCCCTGAAGTTTTTATATGTTATTGTTTGCCATTGGAAACTTGGTTCCAGTGCGTGCCAACACAATTATATTTTATATTTGAATGCACCAGAAGGAGTTTGATAGACGGAAAGTCTGGAAGTAAAAGTGATCGAAACTAAGTTTATGTAATACCGCTCAGAAGCCACAAGACAGAGATTCTGCCATTGTAACATTGTGCACCCCTTCCCGAAGTTCACAGTAAGGTGATTTGGAGGGAAAGCAAGTCCGTTATGCCGACAGCCGCTCTCTGAATATGATGGAAACCATGTTGTAGGCGAGTGATTTGTGACTCTTGTACCGCACTGACAGACAAACACCGAAACCGCACGTAAGTGAAACAGCCAACCCATTCCCAGGAATAAACAGATGGAACTCTTGATGTTGCTCTAGGTAACTGCTGTGTTGATGAGGTTATCGCACGTGGTAGAACTGTGGAGTTGACCCTCTCAGAGCAGAGCCTGACATGGCTGTGCGCCATTTGTAAAAGTGAATGTTCGTGAGTGTAAGGTTGAGCGAGCATGTCCTAAGGATGGCCTTAGTTTCGAAGAATTTCTAGTGGAACTATCATCTGAATTTAAAGCTGTGAATATATGGAATTATATTATCACTTTTTCATTGCTATAAAATTATTCAGGCGATCGGTATCAAGGACATTTACGTCAAAGTGGAAGGTTCAACAAAAAATTATCTTGCCCTAACGCATGCCTTTGTAACCGGTCTTTTGAACCAGGAGACACATCAACAGTTAGCAGAACGCAAAGGTAATGTTGGAATAGAAAATTAAACTTTGGGCAGTTCAGCAAGCCTACTTAGAAATTTGAGTGTAATTAAAACAGTTGCGGCAGCATCCGCGAAAGTCAGAAAAGAGGAGGAAGAATTGTATAAACGCTTAACGCTTTGACCGGCAAATCGGATCTGTCTTATTTAGCAGATAAATTGAGCGCAGGAGCAGACTTTTCGAGAGCTGTCCCTAGATTTCCAAAGTGAGCAGGCTGTAGCAGCTGCGCAAGGTGTGCCTTTTTCGTCATTGAAAACTGCGTGACAAGAGCGCTAACGCTCGCGATTTACTGCTGTGCACGCCGGGTATGGCCACCAGTACTGCGGTATGACATAGAGTGGTGTAGGTCTTCTGGGTAACGTGGGTGGGTCTGGGCTCTCCCCGAGCGTTTATTCTCTTGACATTGTGCTCATGTATTAATGTTGTACCAAGAGGTGGGGGCACTTCGGCTAGGGGCATTTTGCACTTTTGCAGTTTTCCCATTGTCGAGTGTCGAGCCATGCGAGTAGGATTCCTGTAAACTCGTTGAAGGCCCGTCAAGAGATATTAGTAAAAATGTAGGAGCCTACTGGTCAGCTCCTTGTAAAGGTACGCTTTCAACTTCGTAAAGCAATGTAAACACTTACATAATAGCAGCGTGCGAAATCCCTCCTGCCTAACTCTGCCCCAGACGGGTCATTTCCTTCAGTTCCTTGTTTACTTTTTCGTAATTGTCAATCAATAAGATCATGTCCGCGGCAAAGTAGTCATGCATATCTTGTTATCTCCGATGTTGAAGACATGAGGAGCTAAAAATTGCTTCTTTGATCGTATCAAGCTACTGACTAAAGTGCTAAACAGCCCTGAAATTCAAAGAGCACAATGAACGTTTAATTTTGAAGGTCTTCATGTGGTTGAAATGTCACCATCACGACATTTCCTACCCCAAGTTGTCGCATCGCCTATTCTCACACCTCTCAAAGAAGAGGACGAGCTCGAAGACATTGATGTAAGTATTCGTTTTCGATCATTTTTACAGTTCTTTGGGTTAGGGCTCTAGGTTACCAATGCATAAATGGATCAAAGTTACCTTCAAAAATGAATGCACGATGTAAAATTACGCAGTAGATCCAATTTTTTAGGATAATTTAACCATTAGAATATTAATCTAATTTTATTTAGCGATTAAATTTGGACGACTTTTACGGTGAAGGGCGTTATCCATTGAGGAAACCCAAGCCGCTACCATTTTACGTGAACACTCCTGGACATAAGGATGCAGAATGGCGGAGGCATCCTTACCGGAATCATGAAGAGGTTAGTGAAGTGAAAAACGTGGTATTTTAGCGGAATTAAAATGGATTAGTCGCTTTATCATAAGTATGGGAAGTTCCTCATTGTGAAGACGCTGGCGCTTTGCGTTCAGTGTTTCAATTTTCGCAGTGGTGGCACAACTTGAAAGCTGGCGAGCATGTTTCTTGACTCCCTGCCGTCTAGAATACGGAATAGTATTCAAGAAGTTTGACATATCAGTCATCCACAAAATACACGAATTAAATGTGCAGGGTTGGTGGAGCGAAACACAACTAAGCATGCGTTTAGCGTGTTGCCTAGGCGAAAACTGAGTGGCACTGTGTGCACTCAGTTTTGAGCGTAGTTTGGTTTTACTCCCTCCTATTTTTTAGTAGGTAATTCAGTCCATATCCATTCGGATCATTTAGGTGATGATCCGCCTGCTTGCTGACGGAGTTGTGCCACGGTGGACACGTGACGACCGACGTAAATGGTCAGAAGAACAGCACGAGAAGACATTAGCTGGTGTAGCGCAGTTGCCGACGGGTATTGGGCTATCGGATGTCATACCGAAGTCCAAATAGAGGAATTAATTTCCTTTGCTTTTTTTTCTTGAATTGTGAAACCATGCGCAGTTCAGGTTTTCCTTCACTAGGAATTGAAAATTGTACATAGTGAGCTCATTTGTTTGACTCTGCTGACTGCTGGCTAGAGGTTAGCTAAACTGTCGGTTGGGCCCACAATCACCCTCTGATACTCGAACGATTCAGTCGCACGATTGCGACTCGCTGTGCTCTACCGCTAATCGTTGGACTGTTGCAACTGATAATTCGGTTACATTCAGATTAACCATAAATGTTGAATGAGCAGTTGCAGCTGTCCAATATTCAGCCGTGCCGAGCACGATTTGAAAATCACACGACTGAGGGCTCTAGTCGTGGACTGTCACCTTATGATATCTTATTCAGCAACCGCTGGTATAGAATTTTTAATTGGAAAAGAAGTAGGTTTCCTAGGCACATAGTAGTTGAGACTTTTTTTTGAAAATCGAAGTGTACTGTCGTTGTTCAGCAGATAGTAATAGAAGTTAGAGTAGGACTATTGTTCCCATTGTTATTTTGTTGAGACCAGCAATTTTTGTTTGTTCTGCTTTTTCACCAGATAAATTTTTTTGTTAGTCGTTTTCTTAGTGAAACAGGATCTTTCGATCCTTTTGCCTATTTTTTTTCTTTTTCACAAAGGATAAATGTTCCTGCTCTGATGTGAAGCGCTACTCTGGATCGCGGACGCGCTCGCACGTGCAGTGGATTCTTAGCTGATTGAGTACACAGACAGATGAACGGAGAGGACTATTTGGCGTGAGAGGCGCAGATGCAGAGAGAGTCGACGCAAGTGCCGCGCACGCATCAGGCACATCGATTTGGGATTTTGGATCATCGGGATTCCCAACAAGGGGTCGTATTTGGTCGCTGGGAGGGGAGGGTTGTATTTGGGCTGAGAAATTTTTTATAGTTGATTTTACCGTTCAGAGACGCTGTAAAGGGGTGGGGGGGGCGGTCGGATTTCACTTCTGGCTTTTTGGGAGATGTTGCTGACTTTTGGTTGTTTTTCCTTTCTCATGTGTACTATGTACTACTTACCTCCCCCCGCCCCACACAAAATTTTTGGCGCAAGTAGGAAAATCTCAGGAAATTCTGGGAAAAAGTTGGGAAGTGGTTGGTAAAATCTAAGATGGGGCTGAAGTAGAGGGGGGGTGGTCGTACCAAACCCCCTAAAAAGTGGGAGGAGGTAGTACGGGCTCGACCAAAATCCCCAACCAATGATTTGTCCTGTACGCCACTCGCAGTGCCTATTTCGCCGTACTCGTCGTGACTGAGAAGTAACGCTCCACACCCTGTCTGCTCAAATAGTTGAGGTAATCCACGATGTACATCGTGGAACACAGTGTACAGGCACCTCAGTCTTGCTCGGATTTTCCACGGGGTTACCACCTCGTGGAAAACCAGCAAGACTGTGTTGCTGTACAAGAAGGGAGACCTGTACGACATTGGCAATTATCGCCCAATCTGCCTGCTGTCTGTAGTCTACAAACTCTTCACACGAGTCATCCTGAACAGGATTGGCAGAACACTAGACGAAGGACAGCCATGCGAGCAAGCAGGGTTCCGAAGAGGATTCAGCACGATCGATCACATCCACACGGTAACGAAGCTCATCGAAGTATCGCGAGAGTACAAGATGCCGCTATGTCTCACGTTCATCGACTTGAAGAAAGCCTTCGACTCCGTTGAGACAGAAGCGGTTATCGAAGCCCTGGGCAACCAGGGAATTCCTACTCAGTACATCAGGATTCTTCGTGAGCTCTACAGCAACTTCACGACAAAATCTCACCATTCTACAAGGAGATCATCATCGATGTGAACAGAGGGGCTCAGAACAGGGGGCGACACATCTCGCCGGAGCATTATTCAGCGACCTCTCTCCCTCGAGAACGTCATGCGTCAACTGGAATGGGAAGACATGTGAAGATCGACGGTCGGCAACTACACCATCTCCGCTTTGCTGACGACATCGTTTTGATAACACCAAACATCGAGCAAGCAAGCGGAACCAATGCTGGCCTGGTGCCCCATTAGCTCAACGAACGACCATTTCTGAATGGCTTCTAGCTATGTGTACAGGCCGTGAAATCAATTGGTGACGCGACTTAGCCTCCAGATGAGCAAGGAGGAATAAGGCGGCTGGGAGCCTTCAAGAACATCGAGGGAGTAGCGAAGAAGACGAAGAACACCAAGCTCCGTGCCCACCTCTTCGATTCCGCGGTCCTTCCTGCCTTGACGTATGCCTCAGAGACTCTACGAAAGCAGGATGAGCATGCGGTCGGCGTTATTCAACGCGCCATCGAAAGGGCGATGCTCGGAGTTTCCCGCTACACGCAAGTGAGAGAGGGAATCCGGAGCTCCGCACTCCGCCAACGATCGAAGATCAGAGACGCCGCCGCATTTGCCAAGGCTTCGAAGATCAGGTGGATTTCGAAGATCAGGTGGGCCGGGCACGTCATGCGTTTCGAGGACGACCGCTGGACCAGAGCGATCACCGACTGGATTCCACGGGATGTCAAGCGAACGCCTGGACGACCGCCTATGCGATGGTCAGACTTCTTCGTGAAAGCTCTGAACGAATGGTATGAAGTTCATCGTGTCCCTCGAGCAGAGAGAGTTCATTGGGCAACTCTTTGCAGGGACGAATGGAGACGTTACTGGCGCCCGCTCGAGGAACTCGATGATCAACGGGAGCACAGGTGATACAGGTGAATCCACGATGATCGGCTGGGCGAGATGCACAACCATGCACTCCTATCGAAGGCGTCCTTCTTCCTTCTCGTCTTTGAACGAGTTGGTACACTAACGAAGGATGCATGCACACTGGTTATGAGTGCTAGCCTGTCCCCTTATCGCGAAATATGCCTTTGACGTGGGGTGATGTCGTAAGGATCATACTTGAAACAGGTCTAACTTGATGTTAGGAAACATCGAGAAATAATGAGTTAATGAATGTGAAAAGGTATCGTTGGAATCAAGTAGTGTACCGCCCTTTCCGAAAATGGAGGGTAATTTTCCTGTGCTGCAGTGCTTGAGCACCATTGTTGGGTACACAATTTACACCCCTGTATGCGATTTGTTAGAGAACGATATAGAGCTGAGTCTATTAAACGACATTTCTGCCAGCAAACTGTCCATAAGGACTCACCATCAATTTATTGGTTAGAGTACTATGTTGCTTAAAGAAACTTGTCATGAGCTTTGGTAACTCGAAGACGTTCTTAATCTGATCTCGAACGACCAGGGTGGGTAATGCGTAGTCTAGGCTGCACGGCAGTCTGCGCCGGGAGGCAGCCAAGACAATCGTCATGTGTCGCGCGCGCGATGAGCGCTGGACTTCTTCAATTTGTGCCGGATTTTTGTATACTACAAGACTGCGGACATTTATGGCTGTTTTGGTGCTGCATTGCTTGTTGTCGTTTTATACGACCTGGATACAGTCATTTGCGGTCGCACACGATGCCCTGCTGCGCGGCGAATAGCGATGTCTTGTCACATAAATGTGTTCCCCATACTGGCGCTGAAGTACGAGGTTGCTACCGTTTATCGCCCGCGCAGCAAGTTCGTGCAACCGTGAACCGCTAGCAGTGGGTTCCATTGCATCTTCTCGCAGAGTCACAGTATTGCGATGGAGGATTTGGTACGAGCTTTTACGACGGATCCCCCCATTTTTCAGGGCTGAGTACGACCCCCCCCCTCCCAACAACGACAATACGACACACGCTCGTCAAAAAAGTCCGCATAGCTGGAAGATAAATCAACTATATAAATATAAATTTTATCCGAGCAACAAATACGACCCCACTCCTTTTGGCGGCCAAGGACCGACCCTCCCCATAGCGGAATCCCATCGACGCCGTGCCCTGTCTTCTCTCGAATTCTCAGGATCGCATACTTACTGCTATTATGACCTTATCTGATAGTGCATCACATGAAAAGTGTGCAGGCATTCGGGAAGAATCTGAGGAAAACTCAGGATATATAGTAAGGAAACAGTCTACTGATTGTAGTCATGAGATCCCTTTTGATCCTGAGGAAAAAGTGAAGCAGTTTCGACGCGATGGGTTTGTAATAGTTTAAGGAAGTGAAAAAAACTGGGCGGATATCTCACCCCTGATCTGCTTTGCAATGTACATATTAACGTTTCGTTAACGCGAAGTTGATCGCTTGTACTTCAAGTTCAGAGACATCATTGGACGGGGATTTTCCAGAAAGGTGGAGTCGGTATTTCGGCTGGAAGATGAAGTTTATTTTGATAGCTGAGTTGCTTCCCTGTTGTCAGCGAGCAATTTGTAAAGGAAGGGAGGCGGGGTGTATTTCTTTTCTGACTTTTGTAGAGAACGGGTTGCTGACAGAGCATGCTATCAATACCCCCTCCCCCTCGAGAGCAAAATTTCTGGGGAAAAGTGGGAAAATTTTCGGGAAATCCCAGAAAAGTGATAGGAGTTGGGGAAAATCTAAGAAAATGGCAGAGAGAGAGAGGTCGCATCTCCCTCGTGGCTTTTCCCGTTTCACATGCGCTACGTACGCCTCCCCCTGCTCGACAGCTCGATGAGGGGGAACCAGGGGAGGGGTCATAGGGACGGACTCGACCAAAATTGTCAACTAGTGATGTGCCCTGCTCCGAGTACTTGTCTGAGCAGGATTCCCACACCTCATGATTAAAAAAATAATGCACCCGGAGATCTAGGATGAGATAAAGTATTCTCGGAGAATTGTTTTAGCACTTTTATTTCTTTTTGAATGGGACAGTTGCACTGGAGACAGTATTTGGATCTTACCGGTTCGAAAAGTCAGAAATCTATGCGAACTTTTAGACTTCACGGTTGTCCAAAAGTATTGAGATTCGGCAGAGAACTACTTTTTACTTTGATTGAAGCGAGTCACTCTTGCGTAAGATTCCAGCGACGCTTCATGGGTTTTATTCAATTCGATGTCTTAGCTGATGCCTGCGAACACATTTTCTACACATACGCTTCATT